TTTCTATTTCATTTCAGTTCGACCAGACCGATAAAATGAAAACCGGGTTTTGTTTTTCGAGTTTGATGTAAGAGTTTTACCGATGCTTTGCTTGCCACTGCCGAGTTGCATTCGCCGAACGCGATACGCATCTGAACGCGTTCCGTTATTCTCCCGCACACGATTGCATCCCACGACCGATCTTAAATATCGTTACGAAATATTATTTCGATATCAGATCCGTTGAATGTCGATCAATACGGTAACCATCATCTCGTACGTTCGGGTGCTCTTCACGCGCTACATTGTCACATAGTCTCCGTTTTCGCGTGTATTTCGCATGTCTAAATTTACCTCCAGAAATAAGAATGGAAACAGCTTATCAATTTGTACCAGTTACTGCAAGTAACATGTAGGACTACGTGGGGGTCATATATCATAGAGATGCCTCGTTGACCTTGTTATTTTTTACTCTATTTGAAAATTAATTTTTCCTTTTTCGTCTCATCAATCATCTCGATCGACTTGTATTTGTTTGAAACTAAAAATGTTTTATTTTTTTACTTTAGTTACGAAAAGACGTAGTACCTAAAACAGCCGAAAATTTCCGGGCTCTCTGCACTGGTGAAAAAGGTTTTGGTTACAAGGGTAGTGTCTTCCATCGTGTCATCCCCAACTTCATGTGCCAAGGTGGTGATTTCACCAATCACAATGGCACTGGAGGCAAATCCATCTATGGAGCTAAGTTTGGCGATGAAAACTTTACTCTTAAACATATAGGACCCGGTATGAGATCACATAATTTATATTTTAACTAGAAACATTTACTAATATAAGCAAATGTATTTTTATAGGTATTTTATCAATGGCTAATGCTGGTCCAAATACTAATGGTAGTCAATTTTTCATAACTACAGTCAAGACTACGTGGTTAGATGGTAAACATGTTGTGTTTGGATCTGTTACCGAAGGTATGGATGTTGTAAAAAAATTAGAGAGTTATGGAACTGACACTGGAGAGACCAAAAAGAAGATTGTTGTTGCAAACTGTGGAGAACTTTAATAACAATTTTTTTTTTTTCATTTAAAAATAATATGCTGAGCAAACATTATTCAATGAATGGCAACATTCCACAACCTTTTTATTATTATATAATTAATTTTCTCCATTTTCTTAACATTTTTTTTACTATTATATTTTTCAATTCATATATTTACCCTAAATTGTTTAGAAAATTATAACAAGCTGATGATAATTTTTAGATGAAGAAAAAAACAATTATTAATTATTATAAAAACTCTTTATATATTTTTTCATCTAGTGTTACAACAGTGGCTAAAAAAATAATAAATAGCAATTTAAAAACTAATGTTGTATTTTTATTTTATATATTCTTCATTGGTTTGATTATTTTAATTTATTTTTTACATATATAAATTTATTAATCTTTTGTCACAAATTATTTATAGAAAATATTACATATGAAATATTGATGATTGAAAACAATATTTTTTTTATAATTTTTTGTAATTTGCCTAATATTAAAAGATATTACTAATGAAATATTAATAGCCCACTGATATACCTTTCAATGTTTATGTATGGTTAAAATATAATAATCAAACTAATTAAATATACGTACAAACAAATTAATAGTTAAAAAGTAATTATTTTTATAAAATATTGTAGTCAATTTTAAACGGAAAATATTTATTTTGGACAATATCAGAAGTCTAAAGAACAAAACTAAGTATATGGTCCCAAAAGTAATTTACCTATAAACATTTTTTATAATGGTTAGGTTAACATGATTTCAACGTTTTGTAATTCATTATTAAAATCACAGTTAAGTTATCAACAGAATTAAGTTAAATATTACCCAAATGACATTTTAATGTTAAATGCATTCAAGTAAACAAATCATACAAGTATGAAGAAAATTGAGTCATGATTAATAATTATATAATGGTTGGATATATAATTATCAAATAATTATGAAAAAACAAGATAACTATCAAATTGAAGCATAACGACATGAAGGTCCCCTCTTTATCTCATTAAAATGACTTGCAATGAATAATGACCATTCTGTTCAGTCTCCCACTATATATTAGTTGGGATTTATAAACATATTAAGACGTAAAAAAAAAAAATCCTGTGTGGGAAACATAAAACAATAATGGGTTATAGAAAAAAAATAACCTAATCCTCACTGCCTTGAAAAAATGGATGTGTTTGTGTTAGTTAATAACACCATTAAAATTAATATTTTTAATCAAACAAATTCATAAAACTGCATATAAAATGGACTAATATCTGTTTTTAATATTATAAGATTTTAATACATTTATTTTTTCGGGGGTATTTGTTAAGTCAAATTTTTTTAAATTAATTTAATTTAAAATATAATTTCATAATGACTAAATTTAGCAACTAAAAATAAAATAACACGCGCATTATAAAGTACATTCCTCAATATATTTGTGTGTGTATTTTGTAGACTTGCATACAATAATAATAAGTTATTACGATGCCAACTAATTCTACAGATTTCTTGAAAAACTTGTGGATATTAGTATTATTTTTTTAATTATTAATTTTACTATCTGATAGTGAGTTATCATAAAACAAATAATTATTTTTAACGTCAGCACTTCAATGTTAATAATGGTATTTTATTAAACTAATCTCTGGTACTAGTGAGATAAATAACTGATAAATAAATAGACGCCACTTATGGCTCATCAATGTGATGTATTCTTTAGTACCTATCAGTTATTGTTATTATGATTAATTGTATTGTGTTAGTTGTTGGGATACACTCAACAAAGACACATCCTGGATGAGGAATTCAGGAATCAAGCCCTCGTCATCATAACATTTTATGAATTAAATTTTTTGTTTAATGTGAAAGAATGAGTACAAGGTCGTCCATTTTTAAATGCTTAAAACATTGTAACTGATAGAAGTGAAAAATATTTGAGATGGAATCACAAATTAAATCTAAAGCCACTCTCAGACAAAAATCTTAAAATCTTAATTTCAATTCATCTTGTATCAAAAAATTAACATAAAAACCATTTCCTAATTATGATTAATATGAACGTTAGAATAATATTTAAAAAATAGATACTTATAAGTACCCGGGTATCGTATTGTCAATATTTTCTTTTTACGGTTTATGTACGTATTTTACGTCACTCGATTTAAGTAAACAAATGTATGGGTTAACATCATAAAAAGTAAACCATCTTTTTAATTTAGCAATTTTTATAGCTTACATGTCTTTGTTTACCAATGTAAACCTTTGTAGTTTCCTATTTTGTTATTATACGAAAAATATGCATTTGTCCAACTGAACTTGTTGTAGTCATTAATACACCTATTACCTACTTTCCGTACATTACAAGGTCGATGTATTTGTTTTATGATGTTTTTGACTATTTATTTTTGATATTTAGCGTCAAACATTATTAACATTGCTCTAGTTGTAAATATAATTAAAAAAAATTATAAATATCACATTCAGTAAGTTAGTAACGGAAAAATAATGTTAAACAATTTAATTTACTTAAAAATGTTCTAATAAAGTTAATATATAAAAGGTCATATAAACGTGTAAATGTTTTACCTTTTATAAATAAGAATCAATATTACGTATGAACTTTAAAATAATATGAAACGGGATAATTATTATTATTATTATAACAGCTGGATTATATTTTTTCAAAATATTAACGTCTAAAAATGAAATTCTAATGAAAAAAAATCCTTACAGTTGTCGGCTTTTACTTGTCATTACAGTTTCTATTCTAATAAATTATTTTTACAACACTTGACATACAGTATTAAATGTGTGTATTGCAGTTTTCTATAAGATGCCATGACATTTTTTCTTCCAATTCTCACTCACATTAGTCAGGAAGTGTCTCGAATGGACGTTTTCACAGGACACAAAAACATTGATGCACATTGACACTAATCTAACCTAACCTAAATCCAAGTCATAAATTAGTACCCTCATTTTATTTTGTGTTAACATTATTGTTTAAAGAGGATTATTATTATTCTTATTATTATTTTTATACTGTAACCTTTAACTTTAGTTTAGAATTAAAATATTTTATGTCAGTCCCCTCACCACCACGGATTGCCACGAGGTATCATTTTAGCGTTCATAGGTAAGTTGTTTACCTAATGTATCCCTTTGCGAATTTCGCCGATGGGAGGAGTAACACGTTTGTGCACAATACACAAATTTTGACCTGAAAAATGGCGACTCGTTTGCGTACAACTTGTAAATTGCAGTGCCTTATAATACGATACGATTTATCTTGAACATTTCAATAAGATATGCGAAATCCCAAAAGTTTTTAATTAACTGGTGTGCGGATGTTTCAATTAAGTTTTGAATTATCTTATAACTATATGCTGATTGTTTAGTTGAACGTGTAATGCTATCGAGTTTCCAGTGTTTTAATCATTTTATTTCTTGTAATACCTACCATGGATATTCAAATATCAAATGTTTTAGAATCGCGCAGAGGTAAATGTTGTTTTGATATTGAAAACCATAAGTATAGTGAGTTCTGTGTTTTAAAATCAGACAATCTGTTGTTTAGATGTTGTACAATATACGCGCTTATCTGCGGCACTGGACCGATGAAAAAGTTCTTGTTCAACGTCTTCGAGCATAGGCTTTCGTAGACGCTTTGTACTGTTTGTTGAGCCAAGCACAACTGCTTCGTCGATCTCATCTTTATTTTTAATAATTGTTGACAGTGTTGATTTAGGAATGCCAAATTTCTCGGCAATTTTTGATTTAAATAGTGCACTTTTTTCTACTTCTACTAAAATGAGCTGTTTAGTTTTTAAATCAATAGACTTGCTTCCTTTTTACACTCATTTTAGTCGACACGGACGTACAAATTTAAACAACAAATCACCGACTAAATCAATTTAAAACTAATCGATATTTGATAGAGCAATAATGGATTTGATCGTGCGATTAGCACCGAACTAGATTGCACACATAAATACATAGAGAATAAGAGATAATATATCGATAAAACTGCTTAGCTGTATAAAAGATATACGTATAGAATAATAATAACGTAAATATAATACGTATGTATGTAATTCCCGTAATAAAACGAAAATATGTAGAAAATTATATTTTTCTGTTCGTGTTAATCAATACGAACAATCAAAATGGTTCCTAAAATTTGTTCGAGTTTCGTGTTAACCGAAAAATTCGCATAAGCCAAGAAAAAAAAATCCTAAACATTAAAGTATATAGGGTCTTTCCTGGGACCGAAAAACTGGTTCGCGTTATCCAATATTTCGTGTTAACGAGGGAGTACTGTACTATATTATACTATAGTATTATATTAAACGTACAAATGTATATGTTTACATGTATAAATACATTATTTATAATGCCTAAATAATTATTAAAATATACATATATATTATGTATAATATATACGTATTTTTCGTTAGTATTAGGTCAGGCCATAGCCTGACTGGCCTGACCCATAGTTTCACCTATGTACACGTTCCATGCATTTAGATGGGAGTTGATTTTAGAGCTGCGTTTTGTGGTTTTTCATCCATTTGATTGCGTTTTTAAGTAACCTTCGGTCTTTATAACTTCGGCTGTTTAAGCACTTCATAAAATTATAAATAGATGGATATGGGTTATAAAGTTGATCTTTCAAATGACGGTGGTATGATTCTGGACCATTAGTAGTCCTTGGCTCGTTTAAAGATGCCTCTGCCCAGAGGTGCGGTGGATATCTACTGTCATTTTCAAAAAAATTTGCTAAAATATAATCAGAAAACGCTGATACTTTATCATCAGGGCTCGGGACTTGTAGCACTTAAAATCATTAAAATAAGCGCTGAAAACATCATTATATGCACTAAAATAAGCATTTAAAAATTTTTAAATTAATCAAAAATATTTATTAAAAAAAAAAAAAAAAAAAAAACTAAAATAAATAAATCTCCACTTTTAAGACTATAAGGATTTCATGAATTTTCCAAAAAAAATTTCTAAAAAATAAAATGTAAACTTATCTTTCTGTTTTTGATCATTCTGACGTTTGACACTCAGTTCTATTTTCAGCGTTGGAATATTTTTGTTAACTCTACAACAATGCCTCGGGCGGCGAATTATTTTTATTTTTAATTCTATTAAAAA